TCTAAAGAAGTTTGTACTTGAATTCATCTTTTGTTTATGGATTGAACTGCATGAATATATGCTTAATGACTTGACTTACGGAATTGGCCAGCTGTATTATATCCTGGACTTTGAAGGCCCTGTCTGCGACACGATAGATACCCTCAGGGCTCAGACCGCGTACACGTAGAGCCTTCACCATTTCCGTCAAGAGCAGAGGAACCCCTAGTCAATGAGACAGGAAGAAGTATTTCGATAGGACTAAACAGCTCAGTGAACGCAAAAAATCATAACCGACCAGCAATTTCCGTCTTGAGGACTGCTCACCGGATAATCGGGTGACTCTGCCTGTTACGATAAACAGGACCCGAACACTGGCCCCCATGGATCCGACTGCAAACAATCTGTAAATGAGGAAGAGCGGAATATTGCACAAGACATATCGAATCAAAATCGTCATCCCCGGCCTACACTGGTTGGACCTGTTGTTGAAAGCTTCAAATAACTTAGGAGCTGGAAGATGGGGAATACTAAGAAATCAAAATTCCTGCATGTAGTCCTAGTGGCTCTAAATAATGGCCACAGTCACATTATTGTAGGAAAACACCTTCTGTACACTGGCATGTTTCGCGTTTATAAATCAAAGATACAGGAAAATTGTAAACTATATGCTTGCTCGTACTCCACATGACCTAAATACTGTCGTTGATTTTAGATGAAATGAGACGGTGTGAGAAGGAGAGAGAGTTAGTCCAGTGCCATCCAAGAGATCATCTTGACCAAGCACATAAATCCCTGTTATGACAAACAGAACCTAAACACCGAACCTAATGGGTCCGCCTGTAAGTGATCTGGAAGAAGATAAGACCGGAAGGTAGCGTAACACAGGTTAACTAATAGCTTCCACCATAGTCTGTATTGATGTGGCCAGACCTCAAAGGTCTCAACTAACTTGAAAAAAAAATTGTCCATATTCAGAGATCAGAATTCGTGAAGGAAGTACTAGCGGCTCGGTACAATGGATGCAGTCACATCTAGGATTAGGTAGCTAGGACCAGATAGCTAGGAATATTATCCGAAATCGCCTCCTGACTGGCTGACATTCCGTAAGTGGCCCTTATCACCGGTTTCATATTTATGAACCAGAAAACCAGGAAAAGTGTCTGTGTGTTCGTAATGCACATGACCTTAAATCTACCGTTGACCTTAAGTTAAAGGATGCAGTGAGATAGAGAGGTTAGTGCAAAATCTTGCCGAAGTACAAAGTTGCAGTCAAATGTGTATAAAGAATTGAGAAGACAGAAAAAAGATACAGCAGTACTTACCGTTGGATGCCGTCGCCGACTCCACCTCTCTTTTTCCGCCCCATTTTGCCATCTGCGGAAGTAACCGTCTCGCCTTCTGTGACCCTCGGCTTGTCTGGTGCACCAGAGTAGCGCATGCCATCGTCAGTCAGTTAATTCTGACATGCAAAGCCTTTGATCACTTTCAAACGCCACTAATATCGATCGACCTGTTGTAGCCTGCAGCAATATCGATTCCTGACTTTTGAATGCCCTGTGTTTATGCTGGCACAATTGTGGGCAAACTAAAATGACCTTAAAAATGTAAAAATAATGCGCAAATTTCTTAAGGATATACTAGGTATTTAAAGCAACGTTTCCCATGTGCAAATTTAAAGATACAGTAGATTGCATATCTGATGCAAGGTTGGGGACTGGAGGATTTAACGCA